TGCCTGCTGGCCTTGCTCCCAGGGCACACTGAGATGACAATTGAGACTGGGTATGGTGGCTTTGCTTGCCTCTAATCCAGCTCTTGGGAGGCTGTAAATAGGCAGATCACTAGGAATCCAATCTAGTAGTGAGACCCTGAAAACCCTGTAGACCGTTCCCTAAAAAAACAAAAACTTTTATGTTTCATTTCTTTCATAATTAAAATAAAAACAAGATTCTTAACCCTTACCATCCCACTTTTAAAAGATTTCAAGCATCAATGAAATGACAGAGGCCACAGAAACTTGAACCTAGGCGCTAAACTATAAACATAAATCCAAATTGTGGGTATCTCTCTAAAGGTTATTTAAATGAAATTCACTACTTGTATTTACATTTCCCTTCTTTTAAAGCATAGGAAGATTTTAAAAATAAATAAAATCTTTACATTGGAAATTTCAGCTTATGAAAAACATTTCTTAAAAACAATGAAATGGCTCAAGCAAGCTTTACAAATGATTTCTAAGTTTTTTCAGAGGCTATGGATGTAGCTCAGTGGCACTAGCTCCTGTCTGGCAAATGTGAGGTCCAATACCCAAAAAAAACTATGTAAAATTTTTTCACTACTGGGGCTGGGGAGATGGCTCAGTAGAATCAGTGCTTGCCTGGCAAGCGCAAGGGCCTGAGTTCAATCCCTGGTCCCGGAAAAAAAAAAAAAAAAGGAGAAGATTTTTGGGGCTGGTGAGATGGCTCAGTGGTCTAAAGCACCTACTTAGAACAAGCTTAGCTAAAGCATAGGGACCACGGTTCAATCCCCCAGCACCACATGCCTACCAGCTCCGCCCCCTGGTGGGCTGAGCTGGCCACACACACACACACACACACACACATAAATAAAATTAAAAAAAATAAAATTAGATTGAACAAAACAAGAAAAAGAATTTTTAATTAAAAAAATTTTTTTCACTACTTACTACATATATTATGTATTAATATTACAAACTACTGAACCATATGGAAATGAAAACTAGCACACTAAAGAGCCACATATACAA